TGGATCGGAATGAATAATATACCATTAAAGTCTTAATTATACAACACATTAATGCGCATGCCCGCACGTACATTAATGTTATTATTAAAATAATTATAGTTTTATATATAGTATTCTCATTATTTATTAGATTTCTCTTTTTTTCTCTTCTTATCTCTCTTTTTTTCTCTCTATTTCTCTTTCTATTAGACTTAATCAAATAAACACGTTTCTCCATATTGTGACATTTGAGTAATCGGTGAAGAAGTAATTGTCTGTCAAAATTACAAAGTTTCCCTGTTAAATGTAAACTCGTTGCTTTTTAATCTTTGACAATGTGTACTACAATAATTCTGAGTGAATCTTTGTATCTCCGGGCATTAGATGTTCGTATCATCTTTTCTTTCTTTATCATCAAGTAATTATGCGTTACTATTCTCGTATCGTCATTCGAGCTAAAGTCCTCTTATGCGTTTCTTATTTCATATCATGACGCGGTAATTGTCATTGTATTACGAGAATCGTAGTCTCATTTTATGCATTGCCATATATAAATATTTTTGTTCTACGAAATAGCAGTCGATAATTAGCATGATCAATAATAATAATTTAACAGGCAGTAAGAAAATGTAACAATCTTGAAGAGAAGCCTCGTGATTGTTACTATATGACAGAGACAGAAAAGAGAGAGAGAGAGAGAGAGAGAGAGAGAGAGAGAGCCATTAATTAAATAAAAAATACATATTAACTTATCTTTTTACGTTTTAATGATAAATTTATGTTTTATATTGTATATTTCAGAGAATAATAGAGAGAGTGTGTATGCGGAGAAATCTCTCAGAGATCATGTACTTTCTAATGAAGCATTTTTCGGACGTTTCAATATGTGTGTAGTATAAGGGTTAATTATAATATTATTTCTAAACATACTTTCTTGGAGAAAAATCGGTTTTTGTTTGCAATAGCCCAATAGATCATCTAAAATGGGTGTAACGAGAAGAGACATAAGAGCGGAGATGCTGCGGCAGATCTTAAATTCAAAAGAAACGTTGGGGAAAGCGGAAGCGAGAAAGTAAGAGTTTACAGCCGTGGGCTGATTTCTTCAACGATCACTTTCGATCTCCGTTCGCGAACAGTACCTCTGTTTAAAGATTAAAATTTAAAATTTGTTATTATTATTACTCTCCGTATCAAATAAAGGAATAAATAATACAGTTTGCTTACCTTATCGAAGACGAGTGTCGCGCTTACAATTAATTGTTATCGGCGGCCTTCGTACGCACGAGCTAATAATAATACGAGATAATGATTTTCTTTCTTTGTTTTGTTAGTCAAAGGTGAATCTTTGATCAAACTAATACATATACGATTCGAATCTATACAAGGTGTCCTAGACCACTCGTATACCCCTTTTCTTTCAGTAGTTTTTGAAAGAAAAGGGGTGTACGGGTGGTGTAGGACACCCTGTATATAAAATTAAAGTTTACTTATCAGGACGGCGTAGTTCGAAAAATCCATCAGTCCTTTTTCGGATAATTTCTTTCGCGATGGAATGGAAGATATATCGGCATGACTTGTCAATAATCATCGAATATTTATGCAAGATTCAAGGCAAAACAGTGACATCTTTTATGTGACATAGAACTCTCGCTTGGAATCTTTTTCTTCGACATCTCGCAAGCGAAAGTATCGCGGAATTTCTTATATGTCGCTTTTGCTTATATGAAAATATGAGAATTACTGTATATTATTAAACTCGAATTCGACGCTAAACAGATTGATTTGATTTGATTCCATATTATTTTAATGACGTGAATTAAACAATGATTACAATTATGGCATAATTTAGTGTGTATAATATAAAATAATAATTATAAAACTAACAACAGAAATAAAAAAATAAAATTTTGTCTATAGAAATTCAATATAGATATTATAAATACAAAAAATTTTAGTAGATTATATCAACGCATTATATATGTCGTTTATATGTATATTAATTCCATCTCGAATATAATACTGATTAATAAAACGAATATAATCAATTCCTCTTTATCTCATCTTTCCAATTTCTTACTTTTTGATAATTATAGGAAAATGCTGTAACAGTTTTTTCCATCTTGCTTACTTTACGAGATATTTGCGTGCGTTGATTAAAATGACTCACCCTGTATGTTTAGATTAATTACTCTCTTACATATTCTCTAATACCATAACGACTTTTGCTTTATAAACCATTTCTTGTGAAAACATTTGATCATATTATCATATCGATTTCTCCGCATTCGGAAACCATCATTACATAAGTTGCCATACTTTTCTCTTCTTCTTTTTTTCTCTTTTTCTTTTTATGGCTTTTTTGTTGAAAAGTTTGTTATGTTCTCTAATTTCTTGCTGGAAGTGATGTTTTTGCGGATGTCACGCGTAAATAAATTAATAATAATTGTGCAAAGTACAATACATGTGTTCACGCAATGCCGCGCGATACGTCGCTTTTTATTCGATATAAACGTCAGCGAGAGAGATGATACTCATTAATTCGAGAATAAAATATGCAATGTATACTGTGTGTAAAAAATTAATGCATTTTAGTACATATAAACCGTCGGTTCAATAGTAATAATAATGACATTTTATATATATATATATATATAAAATAATAAAATAATGTAAATGGAAAAAAATTATAAAGTAATATTGTCAATGTATTACTTATATATAATTTTAATACACTCTCTACTCTGATGGATCATGGAGGAATTATTTTGTATAGGCTCTTTGAACCAAATATTCTTTTAATTAAAACTTCTTTGGAACATTTTGTATTATATTATATATTAACTACAGATTAGATCACAGCATCTCTTATAATACTCTTATGGATATACATTTCTTTAGTTATTATAAATATATACATTTTTATACACAATGGCTTTTTAAACAATTGTGTATAAAGATTAATTCTTTTTTGTAATTTGGGTCCTTTTTTGGCAAGCATAAGGACAAAAAACAAACGACATAAGAAATCAGTAGCAACGGTTCAGCTATTATCCAACAATATGATAAATTGAGTAATTCAACAATGTATCCAACGATTAGAATAAGATAAACGATCTGCAAAACTATCGATTATTTTTTTTAGAATTTATACAATCTCCTAATAAAAATAATATTAATATAACATTTGCGATATATGTAATACTATAATATCTGACTGCTTTTTCATTAATCATCCTATAAATAGCAGTCTTAACATTGTTCCATAATTTTTTTCTTAGATTTTATATTTTAGGTACGTTAAAAGAGACAAATCTCAGGTACATTATCATGAGAGAGATATAAAAATATCACTATTGAATAAAATTCTAATGATATCTTATATAAATTCTGCCCATTTAAAATTTAATCATGTATAACGCGCTTATTTTAAATATATATATATATATATATATATATATATATATATATATATATATATATATATATATATATATATATATATATATATATATATATATATATATATATATATATATATATATATATATATATATATATATATATATATATATATATATATATATATATATATATATATATATATATATATATAATATATCTTTTAAATGTTTATTTTATTTTTCAATATAAACTTTAAACCCGAGAGTTCAGAGAAAAATGTTGAGTATTACTCTTTGTAAGAGATCGAAGATCGAAGGCACAGCGTCTTACAGATTAAAGTTTGATCCGTTACTCATTAATTGTCATTGTCGTTGGCGCTGCCTTGACATTTCTTTTGGCTTGACCACTGCTTCTTGAACCTACAATTCATAGAAATCATTATTTATGACGGCACATACATATATTTATTGAATGATTTTAAGATAGATAGATAAAAAGATATGGATATAATTATAGTTAATTGCGCAAGAATGAAGACTTTTTGTCTGATTAAATTAATAGAGAACAATCCAGAGATCTGCATACAGTTTTATTATGCGAGAGTCGTTTAGATTCTTCGGCAATAAACATAATTATAAAATTATATTAATAAAATTATATATACACGTTTATCATAGTACATTTAATCCATTAACATCCAAAGTCTTATTTTCAAAAAACACAACTTCTTTTTAGAAAAAATTATTTTTTATATTTGTTACGCAATCGGTCATTAGATCAGTTACCAAAAGGATTATTATAAGTAAAGTATAATCTCTCTTTCTCTCTTTCGCTCTGTCTCTCTCTAAAGCTTTTAAATAAATGCCTTTTAATTAAAATATTATTATATAATTACGATTTTTATAGCTTATAAGTTTATTTTAAACAATTCATAATTTGCGATGAAATTTTGGAATTTTATATATGTTTCAAATTTTATTTTGGTATCTTTATTCGCGCGTCGTAATAAGTGTGATAAAAAATTAGACTTCGATCGCAAATCGGTTGTGAAATTCGTCAACTGGAACATTTAAATCGTTTCACTAGATTACATTGCGTGTGTATTTCGTATAGCATGCAAAGGTCAAGCTTCAATAAATTAGAATCAAACAATCTGAGATTAAGATTTCCTTGAGATAAAACATGCCCAAATTAATCAATAATTTCAATTAATATAGAAAATTACATTAAAATTTCTACACAAAATGTTTTTTATATTAAAAAAAAACGTGTTTATTTGTACATTCGAAAACTGAGATATTATATAAAAACAAAAAAAAAAGAGAGAGAATTAGTATATTTGATACATTGTATTGAATCAGTGAACCGAGTTGGAATTATTAATTATTTTAATAACGCTTTCTTATATTATTAATTATTTTTGTTTAACAAATTAAAAAAAATATTTCAAGCTTGATTAAAAATCTTAATTACAAATTTTATTAAATTCTATTTGAAATCTTTTATTATCTGCAAAGATAAAGCTTACAGCAAAGAAAAAAATTTTTGGAGTTATATATATTTTCTCTTAATATTGAGCATTATATAATTAATGGCGAAACTCATCTAATGACTGATTGCTTAATAAATATAAAAACCGATTAAAAAAAAAAAAAAAAATGTTATGTTATCTTTTCTCCCAAAAGCACCTTTGAATAAACGTACTTTATATATTTCCCGCACAATTCCCCTAGTCTCTTTTTTAACACGCACAGCCAAGATATTTGGTGTATGGTTAAAAATTATAAGTAGATCATCAATAAGTTGGCGAGCAGGCGTGCTCGACGTGGAACGGATGGTGACAGGCAAAGGTATCATTGTTGCGTAGCAATCTCGACGACACTTTTCGTTCATTGTCAGACACCCTAACATCAAAAGTATATATATATAGATATATAAATTTTACTTTAAATGCAGTTTTATTTAGTATAAAAAATTAAATTGTATTTAAAATAAAATTTAGTCAAAGTATTCTATGTACAAAATCTATTTAATTTATTAAAAATTTGAACTCCAGAAAATTTTTAGTAAATTAATATATATAAACTACTAAAGAAAAAATTTAAACAAATTCTCTCAGAATAAAAAAGAAAAATTATCAACTTACTTAAATTTACTTACTTCAACTCTTCCTTGCTAAGGCGAACAGGCGATCGATTGAAAGGCACATCGTCGTGAGGATACGAAGGTAAGGCTTCCAGTATCCTTGGAGGAGGCTTCTTCGTGGTGTTGATAAAAGTATTGTAGATAGGCCGAGTAGGTTGTTCATCGTTAACCCAGCCACCGCGAATCGCCGATCTGCGCTGATTCGGATTATAGCTGCTGTTGCCGAGCACCGGCGCGCTGCTTTGTAAATTCAGCGCGTTTAGCTGCAGATAGCCACTGCTACCTGCAATCGGCATCGAATCTTCCGAGCCGCCGGATCTGCTCAGACGATTCCCCGGTTCTATATATATATATATTCATGTTATTATTATTAGTTATTTAGGGTGTCTTATTTTTTATATCAAAATATGTCAGATTAAGATATAAAATAACCCGAAAAATACTTAATGAAAAAATACTTTATTATAGTGTTTTGTAAATATCTTGACAAAGGCTACAAGAATATGTAATAAAAAATAGGGGTTTTAATTTAAAAAATTCAACGTGACCTTGATATGAACTTAACAACGCCACCCAAGATCTAACTAATATTCCTATCTTCTTTCCCCCTCAGAACCAAACAACTTTTGTCTAAAAAGTTTCCTTCTAAAACTTACAGGTTTTGAGATGTGAAAGTTAAAATGGGACACCCTGTATATTTATAATATATTCAAATTGAAATATATAATTCACAATCATTGACCAATCAGATTGCCAATGCTTGCAATATAAGAACAAAATAATAAAAGAGAGAATTTTGCAAAAAATTCTTTGAGATCAAATAAAATTCCAAAAAAATTCTCTGATTTTTCAAGGTAAAAACGAAATTCCTAAGAATTCCAGGTTTTCTAGATTTTTCCAGGATGTAAACACCCTGTTATTACAAAATCCAAATTATAATAAAACCTTAACAAAAACTTTAAACATTCTCTTCAAAATCTCTAACAAATCAAACTTTTTATATATTATTATCCATTTATCCATTGAAGACATTTGTATAAAAATACTAACCTAACAAATCCAATACACAAACCCGAAATTTTATTTATTAACTGTTGAATTTCTCGAATACTTTTTTTAGAATGATAAAATAAAAATGTGTGTGTGTGTATGTGTAATAAGAGAAACATATATATATATGTATATTACGTACTGTATAATATACTTACCGAAAGTTTTTGCTTCTCTTGCGTGTGCCAAGAGAGTATCCACTCTACTTCTTCGGAAATAAGTATCCACGACATCCCAACCCCTTTTTTTCTCCATACCTTTACTATTTCCCTCGTTATTATTATCTTGATCACTCTCCTCGTCCTCATCGTTGTTACCGCTGTTATTACTGTTATTATTGAGATCCGCCTTAGATGAAATTCTAGTTGAATAAAGAATATCCCCCCGCGTTACAGGAGCGGCTGGAGGTAGAGGAATGTGAGGAGACACGTCCGGTAATCGCCATCGTCCTAATTCGTCGCACCAGGTTGCCGCCGCCCTCACTGCTGTAAGATCTCGAAAGGGACATCCCGGACGAAGATAAGGTATCATAAGATCGCATAATTGAGATGTCAATAATTCTCTTCGAAGAAGTTCGCGGCGCTCGGCATCCCAAGATGCCTGAAGATCCGCCGCTTCGGCTTCTAGTTGTTTCACTCGCTTTGCCATCCTTTTCAGTGCATCTTCTGTCGATCTGTTATTTCAAAAATAGCGGTAAATTATACGTGTCATATTATTAATAAAATAAAATTGAAACTCTTGAGTACAATTGAAAAAGTACAAATTGAATTTTTTGCTCGATTCCAAGTTAAGCATCAAATAACGCATTGAGAATTGACGAACCTGAGTTGGCCGTAGACTTGGAAGACACTACTATTGGCGTCGTTAGCTTCCAGCGCCCCTACAAGAGCTTCCAGTTTCTTCCTTCTTTTCTCTCTTCTCCTCTTTAGCTCCACATTGCCGATCTCCTCTCCGCCAATCGTCAGTTTTTCCAATTTTCTTAATACATCTTGCAAAGCTGCCTCTCTCTTCTTCCTTCTTCTTTCTATTCGTTCCTTATCCGATTCATCCATTTCTTGAATCTCTTGATTGAGATTTTCATTCTTATCTACATTGTTCATCACATTTAATCCCGATTCATATCGAGACTTTAGGGCTTCTAGCTCTTCTTTTAGCTTCTGAGCCGATAAATTTGAGTTTTCGCATTCTTTTCTCAGCTTCTCCACCTTTATTTATAATTTTCTTTTATTTTTATATTTTATATATAATTTGTATTAATGATGCTAATAAGAATTGCGTCACTTAACTACATTTTTAAATAGAATTTTTTAAAAAGAATATTTAAATACTATCATAAAGTATATAGAAAATCATAGAATTTATAGAGAAAGCAATATATTAATGTATATAGGGTGACCCATGTAAAATGTTACAAGCCAATAACTCTAAAAATATTTGTCGAATCAAAAAGTTGTTCATGAGAAAGTTTCGAGGGGCCTTTCTAACTACGTAAACATAAAGTCGCCCTCGTTCCTCCTTCAAGAATGGCGAGAGATAACTTCAAAAATAATTTTAAATGGAACCCCTTATAAAATATTACATATTCAGATTCTACGAGAAAAAACAAGTAAATTTTATATAACATTTTTGTTTGAAAAATGCTTCTATAAGTTAAGCATTTAAACTTTAAAGTAAAGTGCATTCAAAATGATAAAACCATAAATTAAATGAAAGACCATAGTTTTTTTTTGTTTATTTTATTAAATGTTTGAACTGTTGTCCATTCTCATTTAAACACTTATTTCTTTCTACAAAGCTTGCGCTAGTATGACCCCAGAAATGTTATTTAGGTTATTTAGGTTAGGTTAGGTTAGGCTAGACAAAATTTTGTAGAAAGAGTTAATAAGTATTTAGATGAGAACAGATAACAATTCAAACATTCAATAAAATAAATAAATAGAAAAACTATGATTTTTTATTTAATTTATGGTTTTAACATTAATTTAAATGCACTCTACTTTAAAGTTCAAATGCTTATAACTTTTGATAAAAACATTTTTCAAATAAATGTTTCAAATAAAACTTACTTGTTTTTTCCCATAGAATCCAAATATGTAACATTTTATAGGAGGTTCCATTTGAAATTTAAAAGTTACCCCCGTCCCTCTTAAAGGGAGAGGGAGGGGGCAACTTTATGTTTACACAGTTAGAAAGATCCCTCGAATACATGAAACTTTCTCATAAACAACTTTTTGATTCGACAAATATTTTTAGAGTTATTGGCTTGTAACACTTTATATGGGACCTTATATATGTATTGTATATATATATTATTATATTATATATATACAGGGTGTCCCAAAGCACCCTTGACAACGCTCGTGAGCAAGTAGAGCACAGTAAACTGAACAGAAAAGTCCTGTAACATTTTTT